TTACAAGATACAGAAAGATCTATTTGACCTGTAGTCACAGTGAATAACGGTCTTAAAGGTTACCTCAAGCTTAGTAATCGATCTATTAAATCATCAGTTTTAAATAGAATTGTTATGTATCTAGCAGGATATCTGTTTCAGATATCTACAAAACGATAATGAAAGGCTGGATATATACCTTAACAGAAAACCTTACTTAACTCTATTTTGCTTTTTAATATTACTTCGCCAATAAGTCCTTAGATATATTCTATAATTTCTATATTTCTAAATAAAACAGATATCAGCGTACATTAAAAGAAGAAGAACAAGTAGAATGGGTACAATTGGGCTACTCTTCGTTACTTATTAAACTCTTAATATTGACTTAATCGTTTATACTTTCTTTGCTATTAAATACATTTAGGAATATTAAAAATTATTCGTTATAATGAAAGATGATATGGAGAGGGTAATTAAGCTTGAAATCGATAAACTTATAATAACAAAAAATGTTTAATGGCCTTGAATGGTTTTGTTTAATTAAGTTATTTGCATGAAATGCTTGACCAGGTAAATCTCATTTCAAGCTTAAGTGGCCAAGTCTCGATAACTGATAATTTCTGGCAATTTCCTTTAATGTCACAAGCGACGAAAATTGATTATGCAGCCAATCTGTTTTGGCATTTGATGAAATTCGCAAAATGAGTTGAGTTGGCACGTTTTGTAAAGGATACCCGAATTTTATATGTTAACCTTTCCATTTTGTTGCAAATGTCTAAATTGGTTAAGGACAGCACGTAAACAAAGCAGCTGTGCTGTGAGGATACTAATCTACGAGTACATTGAGCAAAGGCTATGAAAAGCTATGGAAGGCTATGGTGAGTCAAGTGAAGCTTGAACACTAACAAAATAAACTGCTTTAGATTATTTGCTTTGAAAGCGAAGAAAATTCAATTAAGTTAATAAAATTACTGCACAAAAAATAAAAAAATAAAAAAAAAACAAAAAAAGAAAACAAGTCAAGGCGAAATGAATACGAAGAAAATTAAAAGTATAGAGAATCCTCGCAAACCTACTTGTTTTGATTTTCTGAGAAGACGTGCAAGACTTTTCTTCCCTTGCACTGACGAAACTATAAAATTATATATTGAGCTAAACACGTTCGCACTTTAAAGTGAACAGAAGTGAAGGTATTTTGTGATATACAAAAGCAACAGTCCTTTGTGTCAATGTAAGATCTTTTGGAAATTATAAATGTTATTGCAACCCCATTTTTTGGCTCAAAGGTACTTAATTTCGTATGATTTTGTGCTAAAGTGTGCGTTGTTAAAATGTTAATTAGATTTGCTTTGTATCCTTTCTGAGCTCAAACACAATTTTATATTATTGAAGTTAATGCAATATAATTGCAAATTAAGCTGCTATGCTATAATACCGCATAAATTTTTATGAGTTCATAAAGATTTGCTAAGGTATCCCTCAGATTTTCAACTAACGCAATATAGAATAATTGCTCTAATTTCAACTGAAAAGTGTATAATCAGCTTAAACAATGAAACTGAATAAATAAGGTCCTTACAATTATGCTACTGCTTTATAGAATCGGTTGCTTCTGCCATTGTATAAGCTGATGAAGCACAATTTTATTTATTTGAACAAAGATATAAAAAGATTCTCTCATCAACATTATCGTTTCATTATGCATCGTTGCTGTTGGGGCTTTTAATCCTTTGCCACACTTTGTGGTGCAGAGTAAGTGCTTCCAAAAACTTTGTGTTGCTGAGAGTGAAGTGAACAGATTGAAGTGGATGGAATGCAACTTGTTGTTAACCATTACATAAGGAAATGGATGATTGCATTTGCATCCCTGAATTTAAGTACGCAGCTGCATTTGCATTGGCATTAGCAAATTTAATCCGATTTCAAGTTGCAAGTAACAATATTTGCTTGTGTAGACCAAAGGAAAAGTAGTGCGTTTCTAACATTTAATTGGTTTTCTGAAACAAATGCAAAGAATGAAATAAATTTTCATTAAATTTCTGCAGTGAAATTATCCTGGCAATGCGTATTAATTAATAGATTCTATCAGATTTGATATATTATGTCATTTAATTAGTTTGAGTCTTAATATGTGTAATGCATGCTATTGCGGTTCAACGTAATTTTATAAGGATATCATGTGTGGCATGTGCAGTTAAAGTAGAAGGAGGGAAGTGTAATTGTGTGGAAAGCACATTTACTGCGAGCTATAATAGAGAGTTTGGAATGGAGATGAGCAGGGTGCCATGTAAATCGCTTTGAAAGGAACATTTTATAATGGAAAACACGCAAACATTAAGCAAACAAATCGGTTCTGGAATTTATGTGTAAGTTTTTATATATCAATTGTATTTGATCTAGTAATGTATTAATTGAATAGAAAGACAATAATAATTGATTACTAATGGATTCAATTTCTCTTTACCCACTGATTGCCAAAGGATAAAGGAAATAAATCAATAACTGCATGACAAAGTAGTTTTTTTTTGAAAAATTCTTTTAATTAATTTTGTTAATGCATTAAATACGAAGCGTGAAAATAAACGGATAAAAAAAAATGAAAAAAAAAACTAATTTATAGAAAAAATAGCAAAATTTGTATAAGAGGATTATAGGGTGAATTTGATTAGCTAGTAGTTTGATAGTAAAAAATATTTATTAACACCGCAAATGTACCTCATCCTCCTACTCTTGGTTTCTATATTCATTTACGTTTTAATATAATTTCTCTAGAATAGTTTTTGGAGTGATTGATTTAAAAGCTTGCTTTTATAAAGGCAATATAACGTCCCCGAGAAACAGAAATAAAAAATAAAGTTAAATATCCATAAAGTTATTCATTTTGTGGTTCTGAAAATAAACGTGCATAAAATATATGTAATCTTAGAGTAATCATTAACCGCACGTGACGGTACGCAGATCTTAGATCAGTTATTGAATAATCACGAAGCTTATGAGAAATATACAAATTGGTCAGTGAGATGGGCGAGACTCTACAGAAATCCCCCAGTTATCAAAGAGTAAAAGTGCCCAGATTCACTAACTCGAAAAAGGCTCAACTAGAACTAGAACTAGAACATAAAATATACTTGAGTTTGAGATTTCAACTAAATTATTAATCCAATAAATTGTTCTCACCTTACCATTAAGCTTGAAATACAAAACCTTCCATATGTTATCCACAAGATGTCTTATAAAACTATTAGGATAATTCTAAATCACTTTTCGATTTATAATAGCACAGTCAGAACTTAAAGGATTTTTAGTTTAAATGAATTAAGAGTTTGAAGAGCTGACCGTATAAATACGATTCTTTTCGGAAATTTACAAAAATGACAAATTTTAACACTGACAAATGACAAATTTCATCATTGGACTTTGGTGGCCAATTCTGAATATCAAAATGTAAAATTCCAAGCGACTGCGTTACTCGTGGCACCAATCTGCTGAAACTACATGTCTTTTACATGCATACCTTGCATAACCTCACCATTATCATTTTTAAATAAGTACGGGCCTATCATACTTCAACACAAATATCATATCAAAGAGTGACCTTTAGTGGACGTAGTAATTTTTCACTGCTCCAGATGTTAGATACGACCAAGTAAAAAATTATGGTCATCCTATCAGAAAATTCGATGTAAAAATCTTTAACCATTTTTCTATTGTAGTACGTTGTCTAACGTTCAGCGGTTGCTAAACGAATTATATTGAAATTGGATGAAAAAGCTTTGTTGGACATGTCATTTTTTTTTTGTTTTTGTTTTCAATTTATTTATTACAATTATTGTTTTTAGGATTTAATTTTACAATAAGAATATATTTTTGATAAGTAATATAAATGCATAGAAATACGTGCATGGACTATCTCCAGTGACATATCTATATATATTTACATATGATAGTGTAAACTGATCATTTACTTCAAGAAGGTTTATGGGAGTTTTTCTCTATGAAGAATTTCGAAGGTGATATCAGATCCATAGCAAGTGGATTGGAATGACTATTCGATTTGCATATTTCTTTGTAAATTTTTAAGTAGTTGGTAGTTTTTGGTAAATGTGATTAGTTATTGGTAATGTATCAGGAGGTATTTGCGATCAAACGTAGTTTTTAATTTAAAATGTCTATTGCCAGATTTTAATTCAAGACGATTCCCTATAGCTATAGTGTATCACTACAGAAGGGTTTTAGCATATTACGATTATTATAGTCATATTATTATATTATATTGCTTATAATATTTAAGTGCTTATTTAGTATATTTAGTGAACAATTCAGTATTTCGACTAAGAAAGTAAAATAAATTTCGTAGTTTGGTTTCTAGAAGTTTACGTTTGTTAAAATTAGGATCACTCCAGGTCATTTTACTGTCCAGGTAAATTCCTATACAAGTCAAATAGTACTACCAAATCAGGATCAAGTACTAGATAACACCTTATATTATTTAGTTTTTGCAGGCGTTTCATATTTTTAATTTCGTTTCAAATTTTTCATTTTTGGATGGGATGAACAAAAAGCAATCAATATTATATAAAATTCAAAATATCTCGACATTCAAACAATTAAAATTAAATGGAAAATGCGGGAGCAATTCAGACTTTCCAGTATATAACAACAAAAGTTCAATAAGTCTATAAGTGTATAAAACAATTAATAATTATAATTTAATTAAATTTAATTGAACTTATAATTTAATCTAGTCGATAACCTAGAAGAGAATATACCCGCTGTCATTTCATTTAAATTTAATCAACACAGTATGTATAATTTTAAATGATTAAAGTCATCGCAGTAAACTTAAAAAATTAATCATTATTTAATATATTTAAACTAAAACACTTTTTTTCATAACCAAATTATAGTTTTTTCTACAATACAACAAATTTTTGAAAAATAAATAAAATCAACATTTTTTGGTTATGTTCTCAACTATAGAATAATTAGATACAACCCTTTCATAAAAATTAAAAATTTTCATCAATGGAAAGCAAAAAATTTCGTAGTGGTAAGTGGTAACATATTTTTATAGAGTAACAAATAATGAAAGAAACTATATAAGAAACTATTAAATTGTAAGTTAATCAGTAAAAAAATTTGATAGAAATAGAAAATTAATTAATTGAACCGCCTTATCAGTACAAGCCTATCAGTGTTATAATGCCAACTTAAGTCCCATGGTATATTCCAAACCATATTAAAACTCCATGACATGATACTCTGTCACATGATATTGTCCCACATTTTAAACAAGACAGCGGAGATTATATACTCTACTAGGCAATTTGTTATGATTTTCATTTCAGTCCTGTTAAGAAAACCTGAATCTGTAGGTAAAAGTGCAATTCGCATGAAGTCACTGAAAACCAAATCTGGAGAATACGGCGGATGAGGAAGCAATTCGTACCGTAATTCGTAACGTACCAAATATGGGTGTTCGTTTTTTCATGATTTTTTCATCTCTCGACAGTCGATCCAATAACAAGCAATAGTAGTTCGATATTACTATGTTTTCTTTTTCCAAATAGTTTATGAAAATTATTCTACTAGAATCCCTTAATACGGAAGTCAAAACTCTTTTAGGACCACTACTTCTATCTCCATTCTCTGGCTTGTTGTTTTCCCTCAGTTGTGAAATAATGGATCCATATTTCATTAATTGTTACTACGCGATCCCCAGAGTTAACTAGATTGTGCTTAAACATTTTCAAACAATGTTTTGAATGACGATGTCCTTGTTGTTTTCGTTTTTGACCAATTGGGAGTAAACGCGGCACTTATCTTGCCGAAAGCGTTTTCATACTCAAATATTTATGTTAAATATTCTATACACTTTAATATGATATGTTTGTCGTCTATGTTATCTCATGCAATTCAATTTTTGGAACATCCAATAAGGTGTTTTTTTAAAAATATTTTTCAGTTGTTATTTCTTTTAGACGACCCGGACGCTCTTTTTCAAAAACATATACAGACGTATAAATGTATAGATATGCAATGCTGTATTTATCTATTATGCTTCTAAACACTTCTTACTAGAACAACTATTTGTTATTGTATACATGGTAGGTAGGTTGGATTGGTGGTCTTGTATCCAAAAGCTCACTTGAGTTCAAATAATGGCCCATTATGGTACCACAGGTATAGCTTTGTTGCGCATTTACAGAATGACAGCTCATTCCGGTCAGTAAAAAAAGGCGCCCCAAAGATTTTTAATCTTCTTCAAGCTAAAGATGGGCACTGACACATAAGATGGTGCATTGTTTCCTCCTCATTCTCAGAGCCACAACCATGGCAAAAGTCATTAAAGGGTGGACCTAGTATCATAGCATGCCATCTTGTTTCAAAATGGTCCGTCAGCACAGATACCGTGGTATTAAGTTATTGAGGGAAACTAGGCAATTGTGAGTAATAATTGATTATTGTATATATGTGTAAAAGTGAAGCCTAGAACGTTTGATTGATTTGATTGTGCTACTCATATGAATCCTTGAAGTTTATTGCATTTTGCGAAACGTTGTATTATTATAACTTGAATATTTAAAGATTAGGTAACAATATATTCACGTGTTGAATCTTAAAAAATGTATAGGACTTGAAATATGAGTTAATAGTTTAGATTCTATGTATAGAATTTACAAAAGTAGATTTAGTAAATAGTTTTCAAACTGAATATTTTATTAAAACGATAATATATTATTATGTACATATAATAAACCTAGTTTTATTCAACTATTACAGAATCTAATGTACGTAAGCACCGTAGATGTACTTTGAGTCCTTGCAAGATATAATTCGATCTCTTAATGCAATAAATAGCTTTAAGGTATAAAAGCTGAAAAAGTACTTCAACTGAGAAAATTTCCAAATTCGGGTTTCTGAAATAGATTGATTTTCTTCCTTCCCTTGATTTCATTGCTTGGCTCGTGTTTTTGTTAAACTCTGAAGTTTATTAATATATTTGTTCTAATATATAACTATAATAGAATCAATGATGAAAAATGGTAGCAGGCGAAATTAGACGAATACTTTTAGAAAAAATCAATTATTAAAATGAAAAATATTTTCATTTATTTATATATATTTTTTTTACAAAGTATATACAAAATTTTAAAGCAATCATAATGTTTCACGACGAGGAACCACAAACTAAAGTTGCTTATATAGATTCTTTAGTAGAAACAACCAAAAATAAAAGTATGTGCGAATAAGAAATACTAATTAAATAAACTAATAATAATATTTTATTTGATATATTTTTGAAATGTTCCAGAAAAAATTAAACAGGTTCGCTTTAGTAATGTTGAGACATTTATATCCTCACCCAAGGAGAATGCGAAATTACCTGTAAACTGTAAGCCGGTATCAATTTTACGCAATTCTTCCACAAAATCCAAAGCCGCTTCTAGTGATTATTTTAATGATTTGCTTATCATTAAGCCAATTGACTTAACTGAAGAGAATATTAGAGTACCTGTGACATCAACTAAAACTCGCAATGAAATTGAAAAGGTAAAAAGTGTTTCTCAAAATAATGTAACTTCTACGTCTGGTCTAAAGTCAGCCGTTGATGACAAAGAAGTATCGATTTTATGGAATTCACCTTTTGCTGATGTGAAAAGTGGTGGTATTTACGTTAAAAATATTGAAACTGGTATTCCAGCTAAGTTGTCTGTTGAGAACATTACCGCCAACAGTGTTTCCAATAAGAATTTTGTAAATATCATTGCATTAAATTTGACACTATTTTTAGCTAAAAATCACATTTTTACAGATACCCCCCAAAAAAGATAATAAACTTTCCAACAAAACTACTGGGAACAAGAATTCTATGAGTTCTTCAATTAATTCTAGTCTTCGAGCTAAACCATCTATAAAAGAAATTTATGGTAAATACAATTCTGGTGGTAATAATCCTTTAATAAAATACGTTAGACCTAGAAGTAAACAGCAAATTCGTTTGCTCACAACTCAGATCATGGATGATTACAAAAGAAGTAAGAAACTTAAAGGTAAGCTCTCTCCCTTAGACACACCGCGCGTAAGGTACTCTCCACTTGCTGTTCCGAAAAAACCAAGTATACAGAACATGCATGCTGAAAATATGCTTAAACTTTTGGGACCTGTATCGGAAGAAATAAAATCGAATTTAAAGCAATATCGCATTAGTGGGGGCGCAGAATCTGACGTTGCAGATACAATGAAAGAGGAACTTCACGTAGACATTAACATTACTGATTCCACCACTACTATTGGTGAACGGCAACCGCTTACATTAGCTTGTTCCGATGATGAAAATTTGGATGAAGTACACAAAACACGAAATAGATCAAAATCAAAAGGTGGAAAAACCTCAGAGCCTACTTCTAAAGATACTGGCGGGAAATCAATTTATTTCGACCGTATATTTGAGCACTTGGATGCCATGGTTAATAAAAGTATATCAAATGCTAAAGCAATTGTTGCAGAAAATGATTACAAAGATGTTAAGAAGACGAAGAAGCAAAATAATACGATTGAACAGAATAAAAAGATAAAAAGTAGAGTTTCTAAGTGTAAGCTAAATTTTTGATACCATTTGCTTGAATAGCTAGCTTATTTATTTTTTTTCACAACATTAATAATTAGAATTCTTAATAAAATAATAATTTTTAGACGATAACTACAGATTGGGATTAAATAATGTAATGGCTGAACATAACGTTCCAGAAAGTAATGAAACAGATAAACCAACTGAAGGTGGTGCTGAATCTCTACTTTGTGGTATTAATAGTCCTAGAGAGTATATTGCTCAGATCAACGAAAAAACAAAACGCAATTATTTTGCTAATAAGAAGGAGAATGTAGAGAAAAATCATCCATTCGTGACAAACGAATTTCGTAAACATCAAGCTCTTTCGCTCTCAGAGAATAGATTAGATGAATTAAATTCTTTGAATTCTCCACCATCCTTTTCCCTCGGTCATCGACAAAAGGTAAGTTTTCATTAAATATGATTATATCATCGATGTAATTATTACAGCAATTTTAATTATTGTTATTATTGACAGGAATCATTAAAAGAGAAGAATGCACTCAGAAAAGCTAGATTGGATAACTTCTTTAATTCAATGGGTAATTAAAGAAGATTAAAATTACAATCGTTTTTGTTTTGCTTATGAATATTTCTACAAAAATTATTATTTATATCTTGAAATTATATGTAGTGCGTGAGTTAATATATTTAATTCTAAATAAATAATCATTACTTAAATAAATATTTAATTGAATATAGGATAGCGTGAAGGTCAAAAACTTTAATACTAATTTACATTATCCTTGATATTTCGTATCAAGGATATTACACTCATTATTAATGAGAAAGTTAGTCTCATTTTGTACTATTGAGTTTAGTTGTCCATTTTGTATCTAAACTAGTCTAGAGAGTTAACTAATATATTTTATACTGACGGGTCCAATATCTTCATTATCTCCTTTTGGATCTGAATTGCACTTAAAAGATGAAACCAATAATTTGTTTAAAGTACAAAGTCATTCTTTTTATCAAATGTTTATATGATACTAAATGTGGCTTGCTGGATTATTGGGAAGAAATGGCACAGGAAGTACTTCGGCATAAGTAGTGATAGCCAAGCTGTTCTTGAAAGTTTTGTTAACTTCTTAGTTTATTCAATGTATGATTAATGAATATAACACAAAACTAAATAGCGTTGTAAAATGTGATAAAATAAATGTTTAATGGGTTCCGGTCACTGCAATTTTGTAGATTATAAATTGGCTGACCACTTGACCATTAAAGGCTTTGTACGAAATCAATTTTCATCTTTTTTATGCACAAAAAAGATGGTCCAAAATAATAATTCGTAAGGTAACAAAATGCTGTTTAAAAGAACTCTACAGCGGACTGACGAAATTTTATATGTAGTAAAAAAGGAAGTATCTCACGGTACTAATTGAATTCATCAGAAGTCACAACACAAATGGGCCGCACCTATCCACTGTGAGCATCATCATGGATTCAAATTGTAATCATGTCTCGAAGATTAGGACAAAACAAAGAGCATCTTCTGTTGTCGCTAAAATTTGAAAGAACTACATTGGAATTGTTGTGTTATGATAACATGATCTGAGATTTATTAAGAAAATTTAAAAATTTGTATTAAAAAAGCACATTTTAGGTACGTAATTTTTTTTTTGTGTATTGGTTTATTCTATCCTATATTAAAAAAATGAAAATCTAAACTAAGCCACCATGTGAGACTTTAAATCACTAAACCCACCTTTTGGGAATAATTTCTATGATGGAACACAGCACGCATATCGTGAAGCGTCTTTGTAGTGTGAACCTATCTTCAATATTTGAATTTCTGACAGGTATTGATTGGTGCAAGGAAATGCTAAGAAAATACGACCGAGATAGTTGAAAATACGTCTACGACTTCGTGACTGGTGACGAACCACTATCAGGGTTTTCCAAAGTGAGCAGAACTCGACAAAAGTTGTCGACAGATAGATCAAATCCAAGCAAATAGTTTTATGTTTTTTCAGTAAAAACCGGTCACTGTATATAGTTTTGTATTTTAATTTTATTTTTAAATAATTTAAGAAATGTTTTCAACAACAAATTAATAATAATTTTCAATATACATATAGTTTTGTATTTTAATTTTATTTTCAACAATCCAAGAAAATGTTTTCTTAAACCAAATCTAAACTAGTGAACAATTTAACTGAGAGCATAAGTTTTATATTTTTAATTTTATACAATTCCGAACATTAAAGCAAAGCTCAAAGTTTCTTAAAGCTAACCTTACATGTGCTTTACACTTATTCAGCGGTCGTGAGAGCGAGAAGCTGCGAGATCTCTCCCGCATAATCGCTGTAGAAATCACATGTAAGATCGCTCTAAAGTTCTTGGCACCCGCTTAGAAGTCAATGTCGATATGTCAATATGTGACTATATCAGTACCACTTAATAATGTAGAATCTGTGTTTGCCGAAAATCTTCGGAGCATTGCAAAAAATCAACCGTCGAAAGAGATTCTGAGCACTTAAAACGCCGACTTGATGGATTATCGGTCATACAGTTCCGACTTGGCAATGACTTCTTTTCGTTCCAAAACATTAAAAAATAAAAACCGGGCGAGCGTTAATTTTGCCGCACCAAGTTGAATCGAATGGAAAAATGTGTTTATCATGGAGAAATCATCGAACAACTAAAACCATTTTCACTGATTAAAAATTATGTTTTCATTGTTAGACGTAAAACTTAGAAGGCTACTCTCGTAGGCTACAGAGTGTAGGGTATAGAGTCTCAAGTAAACTTGTAGCCTTTCCATTGATTCCAGTTAAATTTAGTTTAGCTGCAGCAGCTAAAGTGATAGATAGCTAATGTGTAATGTGATATCACCATTTACTTTTTGATTGGTTCATACCCAATCTAATCGTCTATAGCTAGTCTTACGACAGACTTAGATAAGCCAAGAAATGGCTAAGAACCCATTGAAGGGTTAAACCGTGAATCTATTGATACAGTTTATCCTATATTTGCAAACATGTGCAACTTTCGGCGACATAATCGAGTTCCTTAAGGCTTTAAGCGCAGCTTGGCTGTAGCTTAGAACTACGATACTCGCGTTCTATCATAATTCAAAAATTAGTTGTATGGATTCGAAGATTGCTACTACTACTGCTTAATTATTATAGATTAACGCCTTAGAATCTTTGACAAAGTAGTATTTGTAACTCAAATTCCTAAAAAGTATATCACCACCTGAGTCTTTTTCACTTTTCGAACTATAGTCTTAGAGTTAGTACTAATTTTATTAAGAAAAATATTAAAATACTAACTAAAATTAAATGCAACTAAGCACTAAACTTTTAAATTTCTGTTTTTTGTTGCAATTATTTGAACTGAAAACTTTTTGTCCTTTAAGTGAATTAAATTGCAAAATATATATCTTTTTGCAAAGGAGGCTAAAAATATAACTACATTCTCTATGTCAAAAGAAAAATAGCACACATAAAAAATCATAAGTGAAACCAAATAGTATTTTGTTGTGTTATTTGAATGTGTAAATATCAAGGACTCTTTCCTTCAGCAAAAGACACATTTAGTCCTGCTTCACGGTAGCACTTAGAGGCGACGATAAACAAAACGATAAAGAAAAGTAACAAGTACAATACAAACTGAGAAGAAAAACAAATATACATATATGTATGTACATATACACCAGTGTGCATATGTGATTGTGTGTGTAAGTGAAAAGCGAAACTAACGTGATAAAATCCACAAATGTTTATTTAGTCACCATTTTTATTTGTTTTATGGTATGAAAATATGGCGGCTTCCTTGTTGACAATGGCTTCTTTGTTGTTGATATTATAGGCATCGCATGTGGTCTATTGATATACGGCTTTCCGCTGACCTTTACCGCATAAAACAAATGTTTAGTTAAAACTTAGTTACTTTTTGGCAAGTAAAGTGTTGCTCTATATTTCCCTTCTATATATATATAATTTGACTTTTATTTTTATTCCAATTTTTGGTTTTATTTTTAATTCTTTTTATATTTGCATACCGAAATTGATTTAGTTTTTGATTATTGAGTTCACCACAAAAGCGAAAACGTGACATTTTACTAAGTGAATTCTGTGGTAAAATTAAAATAATTAATATCGAAAATAGCCACAAACAATGAAAGCAAAAATCATTTGATTGCCATACCAGTTTAGGCATATTGCACTGCGAATGCCATTTCGCTCGAAAACTCACACAAACATCTATGTTAGTATCCTTAATTGAGTGTTTATTAGAGTTTATTCATGATCGGCATTTGTGTGCAATTTGAAATCAAATTAAATGCATAATTCCATTTATATTCCATTTAATTTTCCATAAAAGAGACTGCATGCATACGACTTCTGTGTGTACTCGAAAATGTCCTGCAGTTGGAAAATTGATTTCATTTGGTTTTGATTTCACTTTCTATGAAATAAATATTACTATATTTTACATTTATTATGTCGTAAATAATGTTTATTGTTATTTTCAATAGAATGTTATTAAATAAAAATTTGTTGTGGTTTATAGTCATTATTAAATAGTTCACATTAGAGTACATATAGCGTATGAGTAACCCCAGTTTAGCTAATTTGTTCAAAGTTTAGTTAGTAAATTTGCTTAAAAATAAATTCATGGCCAATTTGAGAGAATATTTGACTTACAAAAATAAATAATTTTACTTAAAAAAATAACTTTAAATTCAAAAAACTTTATGGATGTAGAAACAGAAATAAAATCACTTCACGCTGTATAAATAATAGCGCACATATATGACTAACTCTAATAAAGACGTTGATATTCTAACTATTTGCTTGATTTCGTTTATGGAGGATAAGATACCACTATAGAGATCAGTTTTCTCAGCAGGTCGAAGTGTCTGAAGGTGTCTGAAAAATACAGTTGACAGTATAACTAATCGTACAGAAAATATTTGTAATACTGATATATATAACAAAATGGATAAATATTTCCATTTATACTCTTCATAATTCGTTTCTATCAAATCTAAGCAGAATTTAAAGCTGAGCTGAAACTAAGAGATATTATTTTAGAGGATTAAGTGGTCCTAAATTTATGCGCAGCTGCTCTTCACATATTTTTTGATATGCAATATAATTAATAAATGAAGAAAATTTAATTTTTTTATTTAATCTTAGTTTTTTTAATATTAATTTCGTAAACTTAATTTGAAAAATAAATATGTTTAAACGAAAAATTTTTGTGTTTTACATGTTAGATATTTGAGGTGTTGAAATATATTGAGGTCTCGAACTTTTGCGTAGCATTGTATTCAGCCCTACAATTACTTTTTTTGTTTAAATGTTTAAATTTTAATTATTAAATTTAAATTTTTATTTTATGAAATTGTATAGAAAAAAATTTAAATTATATATAAGTAGTAATATTCCTTAGACTTTCAGTTTTAGAAGTTTACGTTTCGTTTACGGCTCTTATTTATGATATCAGGCTCGTTTAAGTGAACCGAAAAGTTAAATTTTGGTTATTTTGAAAAACATAAATTATGTTTACACTAGACACTTAATACATATAATTTAATAAACAAGATAAACGAAATTATTAAATAAAGTAGGTCTCATTAAGGCCTGTCCTCCATATATACTTTGTACGCTGGTTGAGGTATGATAACTAAATCAATCAGCAA